GCAGGACAAGAGCTGGTGGTAAAATCTCCCCGCAGAAGTGGCTGCATCAGGAGAAGTTGGGTTTTTTTTCCTTTCACCAGAAAAACTGGCATTGATTCAGAGCTGCCAACAGGCACGGGGCACGGGGGTGGGAGGAGTTTGTTCTCACTTTGCTAATCAACATAACTCGGCTGGCAAAGCCGAGGAGCACAGGACAAGGCTCAGCGGGGCTGCAGAGCAGAGCCTGGGCCCGGGGCCCTCCCAGAGGGCTGTCACATCAAACGGATCCCGCACGGGAAGAATGGCAGCAGATGATTAACCCGCCCAGCTCCTCTCCTTCATTTAAACACCAAGAAAGGGCTCTGGGGAATGAAGCTAATAGCCATGTGGAGTCCCAGCTCCAGAATCATAATGATGGACCCGGAGCCTTTTCTCACCCAGATGAAAGAGGGGCTGTTGTGCTGCAGTTCACAGCGTGCTAATGACAAACACAACTAAAACCTTCAGCCTGTTTCAGACTCAGGCCTGTAATCTCCTTATGCAATACACTTGACAAAGCTCTGTTGTGGAATATGAGCCTGCCTTTTCCACCACAGTATATGCCCCCTCCCTCACCAGACTGCGCACTACTGGACTTGATTCATTTAATTATTTATTAATTATTTTTACTCTGAGAGCATTTAACAAAATAAACAGGTTATTTTGCTGCAAATAAAACAAACATCAGGAAGCTCTGCTTGCAGGGATATGCCTGTCTGAGGGGAAGAGCAGCAGCTCACCTGCTGCATTGTTCTGAGAGGTAAAGCTGTCTAATTATTTTTTATTATCCCTGTGTTGTTTCATTAACCAAATATTTGTCTTTTTGCCTCACACACATATCTAATGCCAATATACAAATTGCACAAGGGGATTATGCCAGCATGAGTCAATCCAGGGTGTGTTTATCCTTGGAGAGACATAAGCCTCTGTTTCTAAAGGCGGGTGTTTCTTATCCTTGTTAGACCTATGAATATCTTTCGCCAACAAAATTTGTCACTTTTCACTGTTAGCATGTCTGCTGCTAGAACAAACCCCATGGGCTGGCAGGGCTCCAAGTGGGGTGGGGGCTAAAGCCTCTGGGCCTGTAATTATTGAGTATTTATATTACAGCAGAGCTCAGAGGCTTCTTGCTGAGATTCAGGCGTTGCCGTGCAAGCAGAGAGTAAAAGACTCTTCCTGCCCAAACAGTTTATTTTACTGGTGATAAATAGCAGACAAAAAGGCAGCACTATTGCAACACAGCTGATGCTAAAGAAAGACTGCAAAACCCATGAGATTACTCTAAAAATAAATGTTGGGGGTTTTATTTGTTTTATAGACAACTAAAATTCTTATGTCCTTAAAGCTAGAAAGTTTCTGGTTGCTGTAACAGCTGCAATGCTTGTGTACTCACGTGACTCCAGAAGGTAAGATGAACACATCACTTCAGTCCTCCTCCTCCCAGTGCCATCTCAAAGTTTCTTTCTGTTGCAGGGGAAGTGAGCAGGGGGTTGGTGGTGCTTAGCTGCCAGCTGGGGTTAAACCACGACACCTGTCCACAGAAAACACTGAGTGAAGCTATAGAGCAGTTTCTTTTGCCTTCTACTTGTGGGGCAGAAATTCCTTCAAGATTGCCCAAACACAACTGTTTTCCCTATCCATGACAATTATTTTTAAGAAAAGGAGTAGCCTTTAATTTTCACATCTTTCCCCCCATCACTGTCAGCACACAGTTCAGTTTCCTGTATCTATCCCTGACTCACTGGGATCCACCACTGCCAAAGCTGTGGATTTGCTGGTCCATCCCTGGCATTTGACTGTGCCATTCGGCGCAGATAGCTGAGAAGGAAAAAATCCACGGAAGAAGCGCACTTAGACTAAATTTTTTCCTAAAGGTGAAGGTCATATCTTATACTTGTGTGAACTGGGTCTGGCTCAGTTGCAAGCCATGGAGATATCTAAACTGGGGAATGGTGAGGATTTGTTCCAGGAACACCATCTCACCATCCTCACTTTCTCTGTATATCCTAACAAGAATATCCAGCAGCATGTCTAAAAATAGGACTTAAGTTTCTCAGCTTCCCAGCAGAGGAGCATGCCAGAGCTACTGTGTATTCCTGTGCTGTGCCGGGGAGAGGAATACTCCTATGGCTGTGTAGGAGGAAGCCTTTGAGGGGAAAATCACCGATAATAAAGGCCTCTTTTATCTGAAATACCTAACATTTCAGCTCTTCAAATCCCAACACTGCATTTTCTTAAAACAGGTCTCTATTATGTGTTAAACACATCAAATAGAGCAATTCAGTCTCATCATCTAAATTCAGTGTTGTGATAGCTGAATGAAATTGGGGCAAGATAGCTAAAAAGGTAATAGAGGCTTTCCATACAGGCAGCCTGTGAAATGCATCTGTGCTGTTCTTTCTCCAGAAACAAAAAAAAGGTATTTTTCCCCAATGAGCTTATTTTACTGAGTCGAAGACCATTGCTGTGGTCCAGGATTTCCAGGGGTGCTTAGCAAGGTTTGGGTTTTATTGAGGTAGCTAGAACCTGATCTGCGTGGGCAAGAGAGATGGGGGCAGTGGGGAAGAGAAATCCCCTCAATCTGTAGGCCAGTGGCTTAACCAAGGACTTACAGGTTTTCTCCAATCTAGTTCAGGCATTCCACATTTTATTGTTTTCAAAACTATTGGCTTTTGACAGGGTGGCAAAAAAGGCCACTGTACAATGAAGTTGACAATGTGGGTACGGTTCACTCAATTCAAGAAAAAGCAGTTGTCTTAGTCTAGAGAATGAAGTTCTTATGTCCACCCTACATAAACTGTACATTAAAAGAAAAATCCTAACAGGTGCATCAACACATGTGTAAAGTACAACATGAAATATGTCACTTCCTGAAATCTCTGGGAAAAGAGCTCATTCAGTGTGCTCACATGGTCCTTCTAGCACGGCCCAGCCATGTTATTTCTCTTTGCAAACCCTCAGGTAAAAGCAGTGCTTTTACCCCATCTCCTTATAGACAGAAAGCTGTGGTTTCAGACAGCTTATGCTACCAGGACGGCTCACCAGGTGTGTGGTGGAAGAGCAGCCTGAGCTCCTGGGAAGGCACCAGCCCCACAAGCTGCGATGCTGAGCGATGCTGAGCAGGGATGGACGCAGTGGCAGTGTTTAGTCAGCACATTCTTCCCGCAGGCCCAAGGGCAGCCCTGTGCGCTGGGACTGGAATGCTGCCCACGGATGGCAGCCGGGTAATGAGGCCGGCACTCCCAGCACACAAACACTGCAGGGAATGCCAAGTATCCTGTGATGCACGGCCCACAAGTTTCCTAGGTTGCTTTCTTATGCAATGCGCTCGGCCTCTTGTCTGTAAGCAAATGGATATTCTCAGGTGGGTGCACAGCAGAGAATGTCTACGAGAACAATATCCTGTCAATAACATTCCCGAGTTCCACAGTCACCTATATTTGAGGATTTTAACCTGTCAGAGTCCTAGAAACAAAAATTTCCGTGACTAAATTTCCAGTGCTCCTGAGCGCAGACAGGATAGATAAAGGCTTTTTCACAAGGTCAGAAATACGGAGGTAATAAGCAAAGTTACTTTCCCAAAACCACAGACTCATCAGATGGCAAACTAATTAAACCCTAATCCAGCAAAGCCCTTATTGCGTATGAAATTTACAGCATGTGAATAATGACAATGAAATCAAATACTTAACCTGACCCACATTCTTAAGAAAATTACTAAACAGCATATGCCACACTACTTGATGCAAATCCACACAAACTAATGTGGATACCAGTATTTATTTAACCATGAGAAAAACAGCTCAGTGCCAGCTGCTTTGCCCTGCTCCACTGCCTCATGTCCTAAATTCAGGTTTGGTTTGTTTTTTTTTTCAGATGTCATTTAAGCTTTTAAAACCTGGTATCAATTTAGTGCAAATTAAGGAGGCTGTCTTCTTCTGTCAGTAAGGTACAACCTAACTGCCTCTCTGGATCCCTCATGTCAGATGAACAGTCCCAATTCTAATAATTGGGAGATGAGTGGTTCCTGCACTGATAGCTCAGCTCTGTGCAAGTCCATTAGACAGGCTGGCTATGAAACCAAATGTAATGCAGTTACCTGGAGTATTTTTCTCACGTCTCCATTATGAAAACTGAAACCACAGTGATTCCACAAGGAATCATGAAGTTCCCTCCTACTCATGATAGGGATGAACCCACACACCTACCGCAAAGCTTATATTCACTAAAACACATTTATCCTAACGCCCGCTCACACCTCCCCTGTTCTGGGCAGGCCGCCCCTGGCCCGGCCCTGCTTCCTCCACGGGCGCCGAGGGGAGCGGAGCCGACCGCAGGCTCCTCGGAGCGAGCTGGGAGCCCTGACATACCTGAGGGGCTGAGGCGGGCGCGGGGAGGGGAGAGAGACAGCGAAGCGGGAACTGAGGGGCGAGGCGGGCACGGAGGGGTGAGGGACGCGCTGAGGGGTGAGGGATTCGCTGAGGGTTGAGGCGGGAAATGAGGGCTGAGGGACACGGTGGGCACTGAGGGCTGAGGGACGTGCTGAGGGGTCGGGAACGCCCCGAGGGCTGAGGCGGGAAATGAGGGCTGAGGGACGCACAGAGGGACGAGGGACTCGCTGAGGGCTGAGGCGGGAAATGAAGGATACGCTGAGGGGTGAGGCGGGCACTGAGGGGTGAGGCAGGCACTGAGGGGTGAGGCGGGAAATGAAGGGTGAGGGATACGCTGAGGGGTGAGGCGGCCACTGAGGGTGAGGGATGCGCTGAGGAGAGCGCCCCGGGGCGGTGGCGGGCGCTGAGGGCGGCGGCAGGGGCGGAGCGGGCGCGCTTGCGGAGCCCGGCAGCCGCGCATGTACCGCGCGGTGATTGCCCGGCGAGCGCAGCGGGGCGGGCCGAGCCGGGCCGCGCCGCCTCCCGTCCGCCTCCCTCCCTTCTTTCCTCCCTCCCTCCGCCGCTCCCCCGCCGCCGCCTCGCCTCCCGGCCTCCCTGATGCCGAGGGATGGATAGAGCGGCTGCCCTGCGAGCCGCCGGCATGCTGGAGAGGAAGGAGCGGAGCGGCGGCGAGGCGGCGGGGCCGCGGGGCTTGCCGGCCGTGCGGACCACGCTGCAGCAGTGCGGGCTGCTGCAGGACCTCATCGACATTTCGCTCTCCAACCTGCGCGGGCTCCGCACCAAGTGTGCCGCGTCCAACGACCTCACGCAGCAGGAGATCCGCACGCTGGAGGTACGGCGCGGGCTGGCAGCCGCGGGCGCCGCAGCGGGGCCGCGCTGCCGCCTCTGCCCCGCACGGCCGGGGCTGCGGCCGGGGCCTGCCGCTGCCCGCCGCCCTGTCCCCTCGGCACCGGGGCCGCGCCGCGCCCGCTCCTTCTCCCGCGGGCCGAGCGCTGTTGGCGGGGACAGCGGCCCCCCGGCCCCGCCGCGGAGCTGTCAGCGGGCTCGGCGCTCCCGGCGCGGGGCCCGCCGCCCGGGGAAGCCGCGGAGGGGAGCGCGGTGCCGGCCGAGCGCGGACAGGTGCGGGGCAGCCCCTCGGGTGCCGCGGGCTGTCGGGCGGGTGCGCGGCAGCTCCGTGAGGCAGCGTGCGGCCGCCCCGCCGCGCCCCGGGGCCTGGGCCGGGCTCCCGTGTCCCTGTGGAGCGGGATGCGATGTGAGGCGCGGAGCAAAGGTGACTCTGGGCTCGCTGGCAGGAGGTGTGTCCCCACACCGCTGTCCTGGCGTGCTGGGAAAACTCCCCTTTGCCTCGGGTCCTTGGTGTTTGCTCCTGATGCTTCCTGCCCTCTGATCCAGGCCTGTCTCTCTATCCCTGGCTCAGTTTCACTGATCTAATCTGATCCTCCCTTTCCCTCTGTTGCTGTGGCTCAAACGGCATCATGGACCGGGCTGGAGAGATGTTCTGCTGTGTAGAAAGATTATATGAAATTCTTCAAACACAAAATATGTGCTGCTGTGGTGCTCTCAGAGAAGAGCTGTATCTGTATAAAAGTCTGTATAAGTGCATAGGATGTATTTTTCCTTAGTTAATTTGACCTTTAGAAACTTAAATAACATTTCCTTTTATCTTCTTGGCAGGTAGTTTTGCTTTAAGCAAGCAATCCCCTCCTGTTCCCTTCTTTGATTTAAGTTTGATACAAATGCTAATGCTCCTCTACCTGGTACTGGAGACAGTGGAGCTAAATAGAGCTTTAGGCTTTTTAGGAAGTAAGGATCATCACAACACTGTACCTGTACTAAACCTACATGCAGAAAAATCCATCGCATGAGAAATGAAGGTTGGAAAGAAAACCATGAAACAATAGGTGGTAGGTAGCTTTTGGCACAGTCTCCTGGAAATCTATCATTCTTCCTTTATTTTTTGTCTGACTTTTTTGTAGTTTTGTAGTTTTGGCTGATTGGTTGGTTTGTTTTGTGGGGTTTTTTGTTTTGGTTGGTTCTTTTCCCCCAAAAATTTATAGCGCTGTTCTTCCCCCTGTCACCTCCAAATAGCATCCCAAAGGCTATTCTCTGTGAAACAATATTTGTAGAGCCTTTTGGCAGCCCTACTTGAGGGCCTTTTCGATGCCCAAACAATGCCAATCAGCATCATTTTGGAAAATGATCAGCACTATTTTGCTTGTGGACCTGTCTAAAAGAAAACCTTATTCACAAAGTGTAAAGGCCTTTTATGATCTTGAGGCTCTTCTTAAAGCAACGAAAGCTGTTTCTAGTGATAGTTGTTGAGTGTGTGCACACAATCCTCTTCAGCATTTATCTGTTTAAACAAATGGGTGCCACATTCACCAATGATCATAAAATTTATGTTCAGAAGAAAATCTCTTCGATGTACAGTCCAGTGTGTGATTTCTCTGGGAGTTCAACCAAGTGCTGGATCTCTGCCCAAACATGGAGCTGTGGGCATGGGTACAGACTCCGTGTTCTTTGCACTGCTGGGCTGCCTGTACCAAAATACATGTCAGGCATAGCCTGAGTCTTGTGCTTGACTGTGCCAGGCTGCAGTCACAGAGCCAGACTGCAGGAGCTCAGGGGCTGGGTTTGCTTCCCCAGGCTGTCATTGCTTGTGAAGCCCCTGAGGGAGGTGGGCCCAGAGCTGTCTCAGGTACCAGCTGGAGTTCCTGTGCCCTGATTCCTGTGCCAGCAGTGCCACTGAGGCAATGTGCCTCTGCCTGTAGGGTTGTGCCAGCACAGACATGAGCTCTGGTCCTGCAGGGAGCTGGGTACTACTGGTGGGTGGACTCTGCAGGCAGCTCCTGAAGAGTCCAGAGTGCAGCTGGGAGCTCGGAGTTCTCCAGGGCCTGCTGTGCTTTCCTGGTGGCCTCCATGAGACACCAAATGGCTCTGTGGGTCATGATTAGTGTCTGCTGGTGGTGCAGTGCTGTGAGCCACATCTGTGCTTTACATCCACATCTGTACTATAGATATTACTAGTCCTGAACTGAGAGCTTGTCTAGGCTGGGGCTGAATGCTCACAGGGCTTTTCTTCTGCAAAGACTTCAGAGGAAAAAGAATTGTGAAAACTTAGTTCCATTAATATAATGTGTAGTGATGTGTAGTCGCCAGGTAAAGAACACCAACCTAACCAAGGGCACTTGGGCTCAAGCTTAGCTCCCTCCCCATTTACTGCAATGCTTTAATTCCTTCCTCATTCCTCTTGCATGTAAGGTGTTCTCAAAATAAAACACACAGTAGATAAGGATTTCAAACTGGACCTTGGCAGGTACAGATAAGGACTCACAGAGGCTCAGAAGAGTTCAGGGAAAACTGAGATACAGGAAGGAGAGGAAAGAAAGGGCTGTGGGAATTGCTTGCAAAGGATGTGTTGAGTGTAATGTGTTGTATGAGCTGACCCTGTTTCAGGGTAGGAAGGCCATTTCTTAGAAGGGCAGGGAGTTTCCCTGTAGTGGAAAGTAGGTTCTGTTAGTTTGGTTATTAGCAGACTGGGTTCTTTGATGCCACAAGGTCTGGTTTGGGGTTTTTAAGCTTTATATCTTCTGCCCAATAAGTGCTTGAGTGTTTTTCTTTTTACCCAGTGCTGGTCTGTGCTTTCAGTTCTGTCCTAGCATGTTTACTCACTTCTCAAGTTGACTACAAAACTGAAATGGAAAATAATGGCAATTTTAACCCATATGTAAGAGCAAAAAATGTCTGCCATGTAGTGAGCATCCAGTGTGTTTCCAAGCATCATTGGAAAGAAATAGCTCTGTCAGTCTTTACCTCTGTCCTTACACTAATCCCTTGTATGACTCAAATTGGTTTTGCAAAGTTAGAAGCATATTATTTTTAGCTGTATTTCTTTGTGAAGGCAGTATCTTTCTGGATTCATTTCCCTGGCTGGGAAACTGCTGGTGGGACTAGACATCTGTGGTGAAGCACATCCAACTTCCAACTGCAGCTCAAGCCAGTCTGCTGGAGGTGAGCAGGAAAACGCAGTCGCAGGTGTTGGCAGCAGGAAAGGTTCCTGTGGTTTCTCAGCTGCAAACAGCTGCTTTGGTGAGCTGTGGGAGTCCCCAGACTGGGGGGACACCTTCCCCCAGCACCCCCCAGTTTTAACTGCAGCAAAGATGAGAGAGGAAGGCTGAACTGTGAGACCTGGAGTGGATTTAGACTGCAGATGTATTTTCTTTCTAGCTGGGTTCTTGCCTCAGAAGAGCTGACTGCAGTGGCTCTGGCATGGCAGCTGCCTGCAGACTGGTTACGGTGGGAGTGTTGGGGTGAGGCAGTAGCACGCATTCTGAGGTCTGCTGCTCTTTGGGAAAACTGTCCTGCCTCTCTGGCCAGACTAGATCCATGGTAGAGACACTCCTGGCCCTGTGTGCAAAGATCAGTTTGGCCTCTTCCTCGGGAATGTCTTCTGTTTGACACCTTCAGCAAACAGAGCACAGATCAGAAAGCCTGACTTCAGCTGGGCTGTCTCACAAAGAAGTCAGTCTGCTCTCCACAAATCAGCCGTTCAGTGCTGAATGGTACCTGTGCATTAAATCTGTTTGAACTTGCTTTGGCATTATCTCAATTCATTTGGCAATTTGTCTAGAAAAGGCTTATCTTGCCAAGCAATCTCTGAACAGAAACAACTATTTGAAAATGGGGGGAGGCATGAGAGAAGAGGAAGAAGGATTGTAATAGTCCACACTTGCAAATTGGAAGTTGGGCATGCGTAAGAGAAGGACAACTGGGTTTGTAAATTGGAAGCAGTGGGAGTAGTGAATTTTTCAGGCCAAACTGCAACCTGTAGCCACATGTTTATGAGCTTTGTTCAGCTGAAAAGACTTCCTTTCCCGGCAGGTCTTATGTAAGAGAAGAAGAAAGTCTCTTACTTCATCTTACTTTTTGCATATATGCAACACATTTGTTTTTCTTAAAGTGTGTTTTGTTTTTTTAGGACTCTTTCTCCTTTCTAAAATTTGTGCACTTCTTGTACAAGATAGTCTTCAACAGAGATTCTATTTGAGTTGGAAGAAGGGAAGACTATATATTATTATCTAGTCTGCAGTCATCATCTTTCCTTTGTAACAGTTATGATCAGAATTTCCACATCATAATGGAATTTAGCACATCTCTTACCACTGATTTTATATAAATGTTGACACAAAAACTCAGCAGCAGTGTTTTCACTTACCTGGAGTTCCCAGGACAGGCTCTGGTGAGCAGGTTTTCATCAGTATGAAGACAGTACAAGGAACTCTTCACTTTTCTATCAGGCTCTGTGTACTCCTTGCCTAGTGTTGGATTCCATGGTGCACTGATTGAGAAACAAGAAAGGAAGTGTCAGAGTAAGGCTCTGTGCTGCCTTTGCCTTTCTAGGGCTGCCTGTGTGGTCACTGGTAGCACAGCATTATTCCTGCCCACCGTCCTGCAGCCCTGGAGCTGCGGGGCAGAGCCTGGCTGGGAGCTCTGTCTGTCTGTCTGTCTGTGCCTGCACACAGCCACAGGAACCCACAGCCTGTGCTGCCACACTGGCCTCAGTCTCTGCACACAGCTTCTGACACAGAGCTGATCTAGTCAGGGAAGTGGCCAAGCTGGGTCCCAGCTGTGTCCAGCTGAACTCCTGGTTGTGACCAAGCTTGCCCAGATCCCACCTGCACAGACCTTGGGCTGCTGCTCCATTTCCAATGCTGTGAACTGCATTTCACCCAAGGAAAGCCCCAGTCAGTGTTCCAGCTGCATGCTAGAGACAGATGTACAGCAATGAGTCAGCACTGGGTACACAAATTTATCACCTGCTTTGGTCATAAA